AATGTTTCCCATTTGATTCTCCGGTTGCTGCTGCCGCCGGATCTTCGTATGGTACTCCATTTCTTGCAGCTTAGCGTGCCAGCAACAAAATGATGATCGGTTGATAGCTTTGTGCCTCTTTTAACGCGAACATCCATTACTGAGCGTCTTAAGTCAGACGATACGATTATCAAATCGATCATCGACTTCTGTGCACAAAATTCAGTACAGCAGGTATAATGATGCATGGTCGAATGGTCGAAGAAAATGTCCTAAAGGGATATTACGTTGTTTGCCCAACGCCGCAGCAACTCCAGCCGTTATTGTTGAGGTCGCTAGGGCGATCTTTCTAATCGCGCCTTTCACTTTTCAATGTCTACGCTAACAGGCGCATTAAAATCGCCCAATAGAACGAGAGACTCCGTAATCAGCACTTTCTATACAGCACGTTCCAATTCCTCCAAGAAAGACTCACATTCTCCATCCAAATTGGGCGCATAGGCCTATTGACGATGTCAAAGCCTTATCCTATTGTAGCTTCAGTCAGAGTATTGCTAGTATTCTGCGGATAGGCTTCAATTCAGTGAAATGGCCAGCAAGGAAGGGTGCAATCAGTACAACAACACGTAGAGGTTTAAAATTCCAGAGCAATAATGCTTCATTAAGGAGGGTCCAACTCTGTCCAGTTCTGTACCTTGCGACCTCATCAATTAGCTTCAATTCTTTCATTCTGAGTGAGGAGACGTTCCAATGCCGAATGCAAGCTCCCACTGTCGGTATCGTTTCGGTGGAGTGGCATAAATATTAAATGAATAAACATTAAGCAATACAACAAATACCAAATAGTACATGCAGAAAATTTTCATCTATAAAACTTGCTCGCATAACTGATGTTAATATTCGAAGTAGTGAAAATATCCTTAAAAAACTTGCCTGCCAAATTTCTCGTTTCCCAAATGTCCCAGTGACCATGGTCTCTTCATTCCGAACCGACCTAGGAGCCATTTTGCAGGGGGACAGTTGAGGTTCGTATTGTGTTCGAGTTCACAATAGTGAGCGGGAGATTTTTCGGCGCTATACTTCACGACCGCAGACGACTTGATTTCAGACATTGAGTGTCGTTGACCCCAAGTAGCGACTTTACTTCGACATATCACAGGTACTATGCGTGTTGTTGTCACTTCGTGACGATCAACACTGAGGGAAACTGAAAAGCAACAGTGTCAACAACTACTGAAACCGGTGCTAGAAACAAGTATGTAATCCGCGGATATGTTATGCGATTATGATAATCGAACGGTTTTTGGGTGGTTCATATAACGAGACTCCTCAAAAAATAATTTTACGGCCTATTGCACCTGTCGCTTTTTCTTAGTTATTTACGGTTAAAAAAGAAAAGTCATTTGTTCCCTGACATACTCTGGTTTAAGAACAGTTTACGATATTTACGCGGTAGCATATGAGTACCGGCTTCTGAAACATGGTTCATGATGAGCGCGAGGTGGTTTTCGCGGACAAAATGAAGCGAGATGCATCTGATACTGCACGTACTCAAATCCCATAGAGCCGTGACCTAGTTAAATACCCTCCCCGTTGAACAACTAAGATCAAAGAAGCGGTGCAATGCGCCGTGGAACCTATTCGTGGAGGAATCATTCATTATTTGAGATACTTGTGCATATGAACAAGTCATGTTTTTGCCGTAGAACGGTTTATGACATAGAAAATACGTCATCATCATCAGCCTCTTACGATCCATAGCTGTACGAAAACGTTTCTAATACTGTGCGATAAATTTATGATTTTCGCTACTCCTACCGATTTAGATCCAAACGAACTTCTTCAATTTATCCTGCTGTTGACATGAAAGTTTTCCTACGGGCAATTTAATATCTTATGGAATCCAGTCTAACATTTATCTGGTCCCGTGAAGATCAAATCTTCTTGGAGGGTGTCTGGAACAATGCCATTTTAACTTCTTCACTTGGTCAATAACATCGCAGACTCTTGCTGGTGCTCTTATCTATTCATGTTTTCCTACCTTTACCATCTCTTATTCTTTTCAGCATGCGGCGTTGCTTAATCTGCAATGTATGAATAGCTTACAAACTCAAGCTCCGCGTTTCATAACCACAGGTTAGCACTGAGATCACAAGCTGATCGAATATTTCCCGTTTCAAGGAGAAATGTAGTTTTCCGAATCAAAACATTTTCAGCCTTTCAGAAGTATTCCATATCATTTCTGGTGTTTTCATATAGTCGGTTCAGCATTGTAGAACTAAGCTTTACATTTCTTCAAACCGTCTTTAAGTCCGTTCACTTCAATATATAGGTAAGTACCGCATTTGCTAAACATGACCTGAGATTTCTTTAGGTTGTACAATGTCATAGTTCAGAACCTTAATTCGTCTTCGCAATTATTTTGATGCCTACTGACCCTGCAGAGGACAATGACAATTTAAATATTAACAAGAAAACATATTAAATTTAAATAAAAGTATGACAGTTTCTGCAAAACGAGCAGCTCGATTTAAATCTTTTTCATTTTTTAATGCGAACAAAAAAAAATAAAAATAAGAATAAAATAAGAACCGAAGTGGTCAAAAATTTTCTCAAAAACCCGCTCATTTCAATGCTTCACTCTATGATGTTGGACTGTTTTCATGCAAAAATAAAGCATAAATTGCAACAAAATGAAATTCTGAGACAGCCAAGTTTTTAGGTTTCCGTGCAGACTTTAACACCACAGCTTGAAATGAACTTCCAGCGGTTTGATAACTACATATTCAAGAAATGAATGATATTTACTTCAATGTGCAGCTGACTCAGGCGAGTAAGGAGTGTATCCATGGGTAAGGTGTTAAATTCAGGTGGAAGTTCAGGAAAGCATAACGCGAATCTTTCACCTAGGTCAAGTTCTTTGGCTAAGAGATTAACGATCCATAATAGAGCATCGGTTGCAACAAAATGTCGCTTGAAGCCGCAATACACGCTTTCCAGCTGTGTCGAAAATCAATGGGAATAATAGATTGGAAACCTTTATAGTGCCACCGACTGAAACCTTGATGCGGGCCTATGGTTCTCCGGGTCAGATAGGAGGAGGATTGTCAGGCAAAGACGTTATTCTTTCAATGGACTACAGTTTCGGGAAAGCTTCGATTCACTGATTTAGAAACACAGCAAATCTGTAAACGATTCAACCGCATACAGTGATATCAGGTGCCCTGCAAACAGGCTATTTGGACAATCGTTATGTCATCTGCATAGTAATACGAGTGAGTAAGTTGACACGGTGATGAGAAGTTGGCTTCGAACTCCA